AGGTAAAGGATGGAAACTCATCAAGGACGGAAGCAACCAGGAAGTGAGGAGGAATTTCCTGGCAGTGAGAACAATTAACCCGTGGAACAGCCTGCCTCCAGACTGGAGGTTTTTAAGAAGAGACTGGACAACCGTTTGTCTGGGATGGTGGAGGGTCTCCTGCTTGAGCAGGGGCTGGACCTCCAAGTTCCCTCCCAACTCTGTCCTTCCGTTATATGGCCTGTTCTGACTCTCTCCTCCCCGCCAGGTTCCTGTCACACCCACCCTATCTTCTCTCTCGTGTCATCTCAAGAGGCTTCTAGCTCTGGCACAGAAGCCCCCGAGACCCCTGGCTCTCCTGGGGAGGGTGTTGGCACCAGCCCTTCAGATGCCCTCTTTGTCTCCTGAAGATTATATTCCCCAGTCTTCCACTTGCCCCCTTGCCCAAGCCCTGGAAAGGACCGGGAATCACGCGGGCAAAAATTGGGTAGTAAAAGGGCTCGTTCCAGCCCAGCCCTTTTTGTTAAGGCTGCAGATCTCAAAGTCCTTCTTGTGCCATTCTGCCTCTTATTGCGGTGGGGCGGGGGCAAAAACAACACAAAACACACACACACACACACACGCACGAGGCTTTGAACAGAAGGGAGCAGGTGCACCCGTGGATGAAGAGGGCTGGAAGGAGGGGTGGGGAGGGCGAGTGAATGGCGTTGATTAAGCCTGATTTAGTCCCCTTCTCAGCTGCGGCTCCTTCCTCCCGCTTGCTGCATCACGTTGCTTCCTTTCTGCATAATCTGGCTTGCTTTGATGGGGCCGTCCGTGTCCGTGTGCAGAGACCTGGAACAAAAAAAAAAGAGATCACCCCACTGAAAAACAGCCCCTTTGCACTGAGGGTCTGGGGAGGGGGCAGAGGGCCTCCCCCTCACCCACTGCCAGGCTGTTGCAGGAATCCACCAGCCCAAGGACTGCCCAGACCTTCCACTGAAGATCAGAAGCACCGGATGGAGACTCACCAAGGAGATAAACAACCTGGAACCAAGGAGAAATTTCCTGACAGTAAGGACAGACAACCTGTGGAACTACCTGCCTCCAGAAGCTCTGGGTGCTCCAGCACTGGAGGGAATGGACAGCCCTTGGTCTGGAATGGAATAGGGTCTCCTGTCAGAGCAAGGGGTTGGACTAGGAGACCTCCAGTCTCCCTTGTAACTCTCTTATTCTGTTTAAGGAGACAGGAGATGACCTCTCTATTCCATCTCTCCTTTAAAAGGTCCGCTGGATTGGACCGCTGATGTCCAGCTGTCTGGGAAAGATCTGGATGGCTGGGCCAGTCTCTGTCCCCCCCCCCCAACCCTGCTCCTTGTGCAGGGGTAGGCAACCTCGGCTCTTTTATGACTCATGGACTTCAACTCCCAGAATTCCTGAGTCAGCAGAGCTGGCTCAGGAATTCTGGGAGTTGAAGTCCATGAGTCATAAAAGAGCCGAGGTTGCCTACCCCTGTTACCTTGTGTGAGAGTTGCTGGTCATGGTGGGGGGGGAGGAGGCCGAGTTAGCGCTGGGACACTTGGCTCCCTCCCTCCCCCCTTTGAGTGCCAGCTGCTGCTCCGGAGAGTGTCCGTCTGCATGTGGAGGACGGGGCCCTGCCTTTGCTGCAGCCATTAACGCCCCGTGATTGATGGCCGAATGCAGCTTGGACCGTGGCTGCACCGAGTTGGTGTCCCGCCCCCTCCGCAGGTGGACTCTTCCTCCATGTCAGGATGGTCGAGGCAATAATTGCAGGCATTTATCTGAGCCCCCATCTCCCCCCCCCCCAGGCCTTTCGGCTTGCAAGATCTTGCCAGGAGCCTCGCTCGAGCCAATCCGAGGGAACGGCGCAATGGGCTTAATTAGGAATATCTCAGGCTGAGAAGGAGAAAGAAGGATGTCGAGTCTTTTGACTGCCGGGGAGCATCTTTCTGTCCGGCTGTTCTCTGCACTGATGCACAATCACAGCAGCACCGCCTGCTTCTGCCCCGCTGGAGATAGCCAAGGGTTCTGGCAGCACGTGAAAGTGGGAAAGATCCTGAGGTCAATCCCTGGATCAGCACAGAGGTCAATCAGAATAGAGCAGGAAGGGGCCTTGGAGGTCATCTAATCCAACCCCCTGCTCAAGCAGAGACCATACCATTCCAGACCAGTGGCTGTCCAGCCTTCTTAAAGACCTCCAATGATGGAGCACCCACAACTTCTGGAGGCAGGTTGTTCCACTGTCAGGAAATTCCTCCTTAGTGCTAAGGTTGCTTCTCTCCTTGATGAGTTTCCATCCGTTGCTTCTTGTCCTGCCTTCTGGCCAGTCCACACTTGGAATCCTGCATCCAGTTTTGGTCTCTGCAATGTAAAAAATGTGACTCTGGAAAGAGCGCAGAGAAGAGCAACAAAGATTGGGGGACTGGAGGATAAAACATATGAAGAAGGGTTGCTGGGATTGGGCATGTCTACTTTAATGAAGAGAAGGACAAGGAGTGACATGATAGCCGTGTTCCAATATTTAAGGGGCTGCCCCAGAGAAGAGGGGGGTGTTCAACCTATTCTCCAAAACACCAGAAGGCAGGACAAGAAGCAACAGATCGCTGCATTATTTTCAAGGAGTTTGCAAAACCATCTTTTTATAATCTGGTCCAGAAAGTCCCCGGGTATCTATCTTACACTGGCTGGATTTGAGCTGCTAGAGATGTTTCTTGCTCTGGGGACATCAGCTCCTTCCAAGAACGAAGCCTTCCCGTCATATTTCTGTTTCTGTGCTCTTTGCAATTCTCAAGTGGAATGCATCGTTTGGTTGAAGAAGGCCGAACCAGAATAATTGAACAGCTCTTTGATATGGGACAGCATTTTTCTCTTTTCATGCAGCAGCTGGCATCCTGTTTCTTTCATCTCCCTTTTATTTTCAGGGCATTGATAGAAGCTCTTTTGGTTGTTATTGTGGCACACTTCTAACCTCTGGGTGCATTTTCTCAAGCTCTTGTTGGTTGGCCCCAATCGAGCAAAGCTGGGCAGTCGGACTCAAAGAAGGACAATCTCTACAGAAACAGAATAACAGAACTGGAAGGGATCTCGGAGGTCTTCTAGTCCAACCCCTTGCTCAAACAGGAAAATCTATACCAATTCAGACAAGTGGTTGTCCAGTCTCTTCTTAAAAGCCTCCAGTGATGGAGCGCCCACGATTTCTGGAGGCAACTTCTGTTCCACTGGTTGATTGTCCTCACTGTCAGGAAGTTTCTCCTTAGTTCCAGGATGTTTCTCTCCTTGATGAGTCTCCATCCGTTGCTTCTTGTTCTGCTTTGGAGAATAGGTTGACCCCCCCCCCTCTTTTTTGTGACAGCCCCTCAAATATTGAAAGATGTTATCCTGTCACTCCTTGGTCCTTCTTTTAATTAGACTAGACATACCCAATTCCTGCACCCGTTCTTGGTATGTTTTAGCCTCCGGCTCCCTAATCATCTTTGTTTGTCTTTCTAGAATCTCAGCATCTGTTTTGTGTCATGGCAACCAAAACTGCATGCAGTTTTTCAAGTGTGGCCTAGCCAAACAAGGCAATCTAAAACAGTGCTAAAACTTCATGTGATCTTGATTCTATCCTGTCAGAGCAAGCACAGCCTTATTGCGCTGAGATAACCCAGGAGTAAATACAGTAAACAGTGGTCCATATTAAATGGTGGTTTATCATACACTATCTACAAATATCATACATCAGGAACAATATACATACATGTGGTAATACAGTATAGTAAATCCCAACACAGAGCAGCCACAGCAGGAAACTGGAGAGAGGGAGAGGGAGGGAGAGAGGGAGAGAGCCCAGCAAAAGCCTTCCCTTTTGTACTCAGGCTCTTAAAGGGATACAGACACAGACCCTGCTGAGTCATTCCTATCATTGCATCATCCATCTTACATTACATTACACCATTACATAAGCTGTTCAGCTATTAAATTAATACCTTGACATATCCCTCTGTTAATGCAGGGCAGGATTGCATTGGCATTTTTGCTGCTGCTTCAGTCATTTGCATGCCAACTGGGGGATTCTGGGAGTCCCTCAAAAGGGCAGCCCCGTTTTATGAAACACTCTCCCTCCCCCCCCCCAGAGATGTTTGGGAGTAGATGAAATATCTATTAGCATTTCAACGCAGCCGAAGAGGGACCTTCGGACCTTAGGTTAAGGGGTGGGCGCCATTGATGTATTTGCAATCTTAAGTTTCTAGTGTTAGGTTTTTAACACTCCCTGGAGAGGCTCTGTATAGAGTCTGCCAGGGTGGGAACTACCAGCATTTTAAATGGGGGGGGGTGTCCAGTCTTGGCAATTTTGAGACCTGTGGACTTCAACTCCCAGAATTCCCCACCCAGCCATGTGAACCCCAGAATTCTCTGTGCCCCGTCCACACCTGTCCCTGGCCAGGATCTGGATGGTGCCTTGGCTCTCAAGTGTGGGGGGGGGAGCACACTGGACCAGCCCAGGCCCTTCGGGGGCCGGAAAGCAGAGAGGCCGGAGCTGCGATGGGGCAGCTGGCTCCCTTCAGAGGTCAAGGCCCACACCCTCACCCACACCGCCCGGGCTGTTGTGCAACCAGGAAAGCGATGCTTCCGGTGCTTTAGGAGTTGTTGGAAATTTTGGGTGCCGTTCAATCAGAAAATGCCTTTTTTGGAGCAAAATGGAACCGGTTAGAGCAGGGGAAGCATTGTGTAACTTGGCACATGTTAAGGGGCTGGGCAATGTAAAATTACTTGCAAGAGGGGGGGTAGCTTACAAAAATACAAACCGAAATGGATGCAGATTTCCACACAATTGAAAATTCATACAATTTTGAACAGTTATTCTGTTAACAGGCCCGTGAGTGGAAAAACGGGAATGCTGTGGGAAGTGAGAGGGGCTGCGGGGGTCTCAGGTGGGCACCCGGAATGGTGGGATTGTGTCACTGAAGGAGGAGCAGCCCATGCTCAGCCTCAATGGATCTGACTCTCGTCCCCCCACCCCCACCCCATTTTCCCCGCAGTGCTGAGCATTGGAGAAGGGGGCTTCTGGGAAGGAACCGTGAAAGGACGGACAGGCTGGTTCCCGGCAGAATGCGTCGAGGAGGTGCAGATGCGGCAGTTTGACGCCCGGCCAGGTAAGACCCTTTCCGGGGGGAGAGGAAAGAGTGGCAGCCAAGACTGGGGTGCCCCATGGCAGATTGTTGGCTTCCTCTGGCCCCAGAGGCTGCCTTCATAAGACGGGCTCCAGGCTACTGGACCTCATGATGAGACCAGCTTCAGTAACTGATCTTCTGCCCTTAGCCGAGGAAATTGTATTGCTCCTCATCCTGATGGACAACCCCTGTCCTCCACCTCTTTCCTCTTAAATCTGTGCGCCCCCCCACCATAACTTTCCCCAATTCCCATAGCGCAGAGATAGGCAACCTTGGCTCTTTTATGACTCATGGACTTCAACTCCCAGAATTCCTGAGCCAGCCATGCTGAGGGGAAAGGGAGAGGCTTCCAAGCTGAGCCATGCTGGCTCAGGAATTCTGGGAGTTGAAGTCCACGAGTCATAAAAGAGCCAAGGCTGCCTACCCCTGCCCTAGCGACACACCTATAGGGTAGATTGGTGCCCCTGGGATATTTCTGGCCCATTGAAAGGAACAAGAAGAGTCGGGTGCCGTTTTGGGTCCAGGGGATCTACTGAATCGAGGAACATCTGCTCCCTGGAGAAGGCTCAGAGATACCAGCGCCCAGGCTGGTCACCCTTGCAAGGTTACAAGCTAGAAAAGAGGAGCAGATGTCGTGCAGGCTCCCAGCTGTGTGGTTCCTGTGTGTGTTATATATGTGACATGTGACATGTGTGAGAGGAAAGGAGCATCAAGCAGCTGAAGCTCCCGTCGGTACACAGCACATTTTTGCACACTGCCTGGCATTCATTTCAGCCCCCAGCCCACCTTCCCTCCTTCCAGGAGCCCCCTCTTTCTGGGCACAAAATGTTTCAGCACATTCTGGGACCCCCTGTAGCTTTGCACTGCTGGGTTGTTGCTTCTCGGTGTGGCTGGGGGAGGGTGGGCAGGATCCCTCCTCTTCCTCCTCCTCCTCCTCCTCCTCCTCCTCTTCCATTGCCTCCTGCCACCATCAAGCTGGGGGGCTGCATCAGCTCCCATCACCAAGCTGCCTCTTCCAGCAGAGGTGGGAATACTGTAGACCAGGGGTAGGCAACCTGGGCTCTTTTATGACTCGTGGACTTCAACTCCCAGAATTCCTGAGCCAGCATGAGGGAACTATGGCCCCCTCATGACTCGTGGACTTCAACTCCCAGAATTCCTGAGCCAGCCATGCTGAGGGGAAAGGGAGAGGTTTCCAAGCTGAGCCAGGCTGGCTCAGGAATTCTGGGAGTTGAAGTCATAAAAGAGCCAAGGTTGAGGACCGCTGCTGTAGAGCCTGCGTTTGGCTAGCACTGGCTGAGTGCGAGGGTCGTAGCCCTGCGGTTCTGTCTTCAGCCATCCTTTTCCCGCGTGGTCAAATCATGGCTCAACAGTTTCAATTTCAGTCAATCAGAATAGAGCTGGAAGGGACCTTGGAGGTCTTCTAGTCCAACCTCTTGCTCAAGCAGAGGACGCTACATAATTTGAGACAAGTGGCTGTCCAGTCTCTTCTTAAAAACCTCCAGTGATGAAGCACTCACCACTTCTGGAGGCAGGTTGTTCCACCGGTTAATTGTCCTCACTGCCAGGAAGTTTCTCCTTAATTCTAGGTTGCTTCTCTCCTTGATCAGTTTCCATCCGTTGCTTCTTGTCCTGCCTTCAGGCGCTTTGGAGAATATTTTGACCCCCTCTTCTTTGTGGCAGCCCCTCAAATACTGGAAGGCTGCTATCATGTCCCCCCTCGTCCTCCTTTTCTTTAGACTGGCCATGCCCGATTCCTGCAGCCGTTCTTCGTATGTCTTAAGTCTTTTTAACATGTTTAACGTGTTTGTTAGCAGTGATGCTCCCCCAAGGAGTGATGTGGGTGGCTGGGGAATTCTGGGAGTTGAAGTCCATTGCAAGTTGCTCAGGTTGACCAACACTGCTGTGGACCTTATAATGTTTGTGATAGTGACCTTTATAAATAATGAGCAGAAGGCAGCGAAGGGCAGCTTAACTTGACTTTAGCAGAGCTTCTCGTCAAGAGCCCACAGAGAGTCGAGCACAGACAGACGTGTACAGGATCCCGCTAGAGCAGTGGTTCTCACCCTGTGGGTCGGGACCCCATTTGGGGTCGATCGACCATTTCACGGGGGTCGCCAAGCAAGGCTGTCCGCCATTTTTTTTGTCCGCCATTTTTTTGTCTGCCATTTTTTCCCCCTTTTCTGGTGGGTGCCTTACCTCCCTTGGGCTGGGCCAGCTGGTGGTCGGCCTGCTCCGTCTCTGCCGCTTGCCAGCTACGCCTCGGCCGGTGCAGGGGGCGGAACCACGCATGCGCGGCGCTCCCGGGCAGGGAAAGTCCTCGACTTACGACCGGTTGGGTGGTCCTCGACTTACGACTGGTTTAGTCCTCGACTTATGACCGGTTTAGTCCTCGACTTACGACCGGTTGGGGTCGCGGCATTAAAAAGGTTGAGAACCACTGCGCTAGAGGCGCAGGGCTGGCTGAAAGTAGCCTAGCCAGGGAGCAGCGTAAGACAAAAGGCTCGGCAGAAAAAGTTGGCAGGAAGTGTTCACAACACACCGCAAGTCTCCATTTGTAGGCCCTGTACTGTGCAACAGGCATCCAGAGACACCTGATGAGGAATTAAGAAACAGGATTGTTAAGTTTGCAGATGCCACACATGCATGGGAGACCGCAGACCTCATGAAGGACAGCATCAGGATTCAAGAGTGTCTTGAGAGGCGGGAACCCTGGGTAGAAAGCCGCAGGATGGATTTCAACCTGGACAAATGCCAAGTCCTTCAGGTGGATCAGAAAATCAAACACAACACCATGGGGCTGGGGAGGGAATATGCTGTGAGCGCGGCAGTAAACTCAAAAGGCATCTGGATCGCTTGGTGGATCACAGACAGAACCCCAGTCAACAGTCTGATCCCAAAAGGAAAATACAATCCTAAGGAAAGAATAATGTCCAGCAGAAACTGTGATTAATATTTACATGTTATTTATATGTAAGGGTGTAGGTCTATACCAGGGGTCTGCAACCTTGGCCACTTTAGCTGGCTGAGGAATTCTGGGAGCTGCAGTCCACAAGTCTTAAAGTGGTCAAGATTGCAGATCCCTGGGCTATGCGTATGTTGTATATAGTATGTTTGTGTTATGTATGTGTACACTTTGAGAGCAAGCAACTAAATTTCATTTTTAACGTGTGCCATTGTGCCCACAGTAAAAAATGTCAATAAAGGTTATCTATTTATCTGTCTGTCTATCTATCTATCTATCTATCTATCTATCTATCTATCTATCTATCTATCTATCTATCTATCTATCTATCTATCTATCTATCTATCTATCCACCCATCTCTGTATCTATCCACCCATCTATCTATCTATCTATCTATCTATCTATCTATCTATCTATCTATCTATCTATCTATCTATCTATCTATCTATCTATCTATCCATCCACCCATCTCTGTATCTATCCACCCATCTATCTATCATCTATCAGTCTGAACACGGATGGCTGAATGCGATGAGCAGTGTGCGACACCAGTAAAGCGTGCAAGAAAATAAGCAGAATATTGACCAGGGAGTCAAAGAAAGAAGTGCCAAGTCCCTTGATTGCTTTATGGGTGGAAGATGTTTAAGGAAGGTTTGCAGTGCCGTTCAGGGCATCTGGGCTGGGCCGATGGAGGGAGGGGGGCCTTGGCATCCGTGTGAAGCGGCGTCATTATCTGAGAAACAGCGCTGGGTGGACGGTTCCACAGGCCGGAGGGTGCAGTGAGGAACATGGATTTGAAAATTAATGTGACAGAGATATAGAAGTGGTTGCCTTTGACGGAGAAAATGGATTGAACAATTGCAGGTTGCACGTAAATGGCAAAAAAAAAAAAAAAAAAAAACCCACCCAACCTCAGAACTAGCAGATATCTGCACCTTGCCAGAAGGTTGACTAAGGCTGGGGAAATTGCTGGAGAAACTTAGATATGCAAATACCGCTAGAAAAATAATAGGTCGTGTGTGATCCATGGAGAGGACTATTGGAGAAGCCAGAATAGCTGCACCTGGGAATATCCTTCAAAGACGGGTCCAGGTTGGGAATGCCACCTGAGAGCCGTGGGGACGGGGTCCTCCAGAAGGGGGTGTGGGATATAAAAAGAAGAGAAAAGCTAAAGGTTCCCCCTGCCCAGCCGTGTCTGACCCTTAGGACGGGGCTAAGTCCTGGAGGGGGGGCTGAAGCGGGCAGAAGGCTGGAGAAGGTCCTCAGTCCCCAGGGGCTCCCACGGAGGAGACCATGGTTGCCCTGTTGTGGTGAGCATGGACCCCCAAAGCAGGTGGCCCAGCAGACGCGGGAGGGAAAGGAAGGGAGAGCAGCTCCGCTCCCAGGGCCAGGGCAGGTGGCTGCCTGCAGGGAGGAAGAGGACAAGTCCCCTAATGGGAAGGTTGCAGGTGCCCCCCCCCAATTCTGTCTTTGGCCAGCCAGATTCCAGTTGCTTCTGCCTCTCCTTTTCTCTCAGAATCAGGAACATGTAATTGTTGAAGGCGTCATGGGAAACTGTGGGTGTCAGTCATTGACTAATTACTCCAAAGCATCCTTGATTATCGGCGTTCTCGCAATCAGAAGTGCTTTTGGAGAGAGGCCTCCTTGCGTGGGAGCCGAGCGTGGAGCCAAGCGGAGGCCAGGGAGCCTCTGGGCATCCGTGGCTTATGGAACGAGGAATCATCGGTCCCCTTTTGCTGACCAGACTCCCACTCCGTCCAATTGTTCTTCGCAGAGCAAAGGGGCCCATTTCAGAGAGGACCACGTGGTCCTCTTCTCACCTCTTCTCTGGGATGTTGGATGGAGCAGGATGGAGCCTCCCCTTCCTTCGGGGCTCCAAGCATATTCCAGTTTTATTGTTAGGACCCATGAATTTAAGCCCAAAGGGTGGGCAGCCTGGCATGTTCACCCCTCAAAGGGGGATTGGAGGAGAGAGAAATTTTAAAGACGGAGTGGGAACTTTAAAATGGGGGTCGC